AATGAAAAGTTGAACGAATAAAGGAGTAAGTTTCGCAAGAAACTGTGGCGCTGCGTCGGTGGGAGAGTGTAATAGGGCAATCAAGTATTATCAACTTAGTTGATAACGTAACTTGGCCACCGTAAAGAGTTAAAAGGCCGACGTTACGAGCGTCAGCCCTTCGCCAGAGCGATTTTAAAGTTAGTCGAGTCTCTGCCACGTTGAAGGTAAGGTTTTGTGCGTAGGCTGTTCTTTCGAACATATTTATGTAATCTCAGAGGTCCTAGCTCCAAAAAGCCCATTTTCCTCTTCCAGGTCTGACCGGAATGCGAGAGACACTACATGATCATTCATTCCGAGAGCAAATTTGAACAAGGGGTTGGCATGCTGCGGTATTCCACGGCGTTGGCTACCTTTGTACCCAAGCGCAAGAGCAGGACAACCACTAGGTGAGTCTTCCGCTAATACTTAACAGGAGCTCGTATTTTCAGCCGAAACTGCTTGATGTTGTTTCCAGAGTGATGGTTTCTAGAGTTCAAGATGAAATATTCGTTTGAAGTTTTCGTCGATTCGCAGTTCTGATATTTCGATTCCCTTGTAATCTTGTTCCTTTGCTGGTTTTTATCAATCTGAGTTGTTATCAATTTGCAACACAAGGTGAAATTATTAAGTCACCCCCTGTTTGCGAAAAAAATGGCTATTTACTTCCCTGGTTCTGCAACACATAATCGGATGTTGTAAATTTAGCTTTCTAAATCTTGGGCCAAGTCTTATTTATGTAATAACTTAAGAATGAAAACAAATCAGTTAAAGCTTCATTCAACAAAAGTGATAGCTTCTTTTTTTAGTTAATGAAAGAAATGGGACAGCCAGGATTTTTCCACTAGCAAATGCTTAAGTGAACAAAATTGAACAACAGTTTACCACAGACAGTGAAGTCTAGTAATACATCATGTCAAAAGCAGTAAACATTGGTATGAAATAATAAACAGTTGGTTAGGCCATGTCTTTCAAGGGTATTATCTCAATTGCTGCAATTTTTTAGGCAACATGAATGAGTTAACATTGATATGAAGTTAAAAAACAATGTCCTTAGCGATGTCTTTCAAGATCAATCTTCCAGTTCATGCCATTTCTTGACAACACGAGTGACTTGACTCTGTAACAAATTGTGTCAATAGCCATGTCTTTCAAGGTAAATCTTTTAGTTCATGCATTTTCTTGACAATTTGAACAGGTTAACATTGTTAACAGTGTCCTTAGCAATGTCTTTCTAGATAAATCTTCCTGTTCCTGAACTTTCTTGATAGCCTGAACGTCACTTGATGTTAACAATGTGCAGTTGGCTTCCTCAGATATTTTGATCTAGCCCTCAGTGTTGAGTGCATTTGCAGTAGCTTACACCTGGGTAGGTTTACCCTTGCCTCTCTGCAAGCTAAGGCTGAAAATCCTTTCCAATTTATGGAGCTCACCCATTTTCGCATCCTTTATCAATGACTTCTCCAGGACCATCATTACTATCAAATCAGCTGTGCTCTGGGTCATGTCTTCAAAAAAAACTGAAAAGAAAACAAAAGGATTAATTGTTAAACTCGTATGAAGCTGAAATATTGTTGAATTACAGAATTAAAATATGTAATGATAATAAAAGCTCACCCCCAAAAATGTATTTATTTTTATCATAGGCCTACTAAGAATTAGCAAAAATTACTGTAAAAAGTTGTATCATTGCAGAGGTGTAGTAATTTAAGTATTGTCTACTCTCGCATTGGAGATGACATAATGGCATTGCAGGGGTATCAACAGATATGCCTCAAATCATAAAATTACTTGTAGTGAAACATGACAGTCTTTTCAGTGCATTTGATGCATGTGATGCCTATCGGTAAATCTTGGGTGATGATGATTGTCAATTGCAACATAAACTCAGTGATACTATTTATATGAAGCCAAGTCATGCACTTGTATAAATTTGTCTGACATTGGAAGACCAATTATGTTGTGGTTTGAACCTGATGGAAATTTGCAATAGTGTATCATTCCAAAACAGCCATTCCTCTTTCAAAAATCATTGTCCTGGTTTATCCCTAACCTGGTGACATGGTCAGCGTGAAAGAAGACCAAGATGAAATATGGCATGCAGTGGTTTTCATCTTAATTAAAAGATGGTGAAAGGATATTTCTTTGTCAAGCATTTACACTAGGAGAGAAATCAATTGTGGGCTAGGGAATTAAGTTTACAAGCTGTGGACATTATCAGCAACAAAAACATAGTTGATATTTTGTCAGGAATGTGGTTTGGTGCAAACTTGCAAGAACAAATCTGACAGTGTCATGGCATTTGTAAGTTTTGTAAGTCTTTTGGCTAGCAGTAAATTGATGGCTGATATTAGTTGATATCAGCTGTAGATGTGCTATCCTCCCTTCCTGAGGTAATTACTAACTCACTCATATGTGATGTCTGTTTTTAATTTTTAAGTGCTAAAATTGTTCCCTTATGGGACTCTCTAGCAAGATCAATTGTTCTAAAACAAAAACAACAACTGGATGTATTTTCAAAGTAAGGGTTTCCTCATGGAAATGCAGTATTCACTACTTAACTTTTAACTTGGAGCATGTAAGTCAGTATTGAGCAATCAAAAACTCCCTATCTAAGTTCATTTTCGTGATGCAAATTTTTCCAGAAAGCTGTAAATGCATGTTTCCATGTTTGTTTTTAATATGGAAAACTAAAGTGGAATGTTTTGTTCAGCAATTTTCCATACCATAACCTTGTTTGGTAACTGGTTGGATGTACATTTTTATTTTACATACATGATGTATAAGTAATTTTTTTTTCATGGATGTATATTTGGATAACAAAATGCCTGGTGGAAATCATAATTTCCAAGTTAAGATTGGAAATTAAAATTGAAATACTGTATTTATTCTATTAAACGCCGCAAGGCTTATTAAATTTTTCGTGATGCAAGTGCAGTGTTCCAAGGCGGCATCTATACGAGGGTGGTGTTTATTTAAAATCCAATTTATTTCTTGCAAACTATAGTGTGGCAACTAACCATTTTAATTTGTCTAAAAAAAAAAACAACCAACATGGTGTAGTGCTTGTCAAAAAGGTCATCTCTTTTATTGTTCTCAATTTCACAATTTTCATGTTAATATTACTGCAATACATAGAGTGAATAAAGATCTAATGTCAGATTTGCTTCTCAACATCAGAACTGGTATATTCAAAAGGATTTGTGTCTGGTTCACTCAAAATTTATGACTGCGATCCAAGCACTGATTGGTATATGCTCTTTTAGTCTCTTATTTTATTACTGCTACATTACTTCTTTCAACAATTTTCCACACCATAATCGAAAAGGGAAATTGTATAGTGCAGATCATCTTTTTGACATGCAAAGGAAATGTGTGGAAATTGGCTATAGCTTTTAAGGAAAACAAAAGCACACTTAGAAAACAAGAATTTCTTTAAGGGAATGCAATTTCCAGGCTGGAACTGGGAAATAAGATTTCCATGTTTGTTTTAAAACATGGCCAACAATATTGGAGTATTTTTGCAAAACATTTTCCATATAATTACCAGACTTGGAAACTGGATGAAGTTAGATTTTATATCTGACATGCAAAATGCACATATGGAAATTGGATATTTTTCCAGGGAACTTTGCAGATCTAAACTCTTTTAATTAATTCATATGTAAATCATTTGGACTACAATAACACAAAGGAACATGTTAACTATATTTCTGCAGACTGTCTATGTGGGAAGAGAGATCCTTACAGTGTACAGCTAACAGGCATTATCACTCATTAGAACCTTATAACATAACTTGTTTAGCTGTTTTACATTGCTCCCAGACAGTTGAAAGTTGTAATGCATGTGACATAAATTGGTAGATACATACCTGCATACATACATACATACATACATACATACATACATACTTTCAGTATCAGAAAACAAATTTTGTGTAAAAACTACCATAGACAATGAAAAAAATTATATTTATAACTCTTAGAAAAGACGACTTTTGAGACTAATTTCATAATTGATATACATATAATTATAATTCTTAAAACTACTGAAGACACTAATCTCAATGTTATTGTAATTACAGTTAAAGCCTGTCTAAGAGATGGGCTTGGAGTTGCCTTTTAAAGCTTTTTATACTCTTACAGCTCCTCAAATCCTTTGTTAAGGAGTTCCATTCAGGTTCTTAGGGGTCCTGAAAAACCTGGAAAGTCTTGGAATTTTATTTTGACATTCTCCAGGACTGGAAAGTTTTGGAAATCGGCTTACATATGACTCAAGCAGTAAATCAACATAGTAAGAATTGTACGTAGATTGTAAGGAGAAATGATTTCACAACTCTTTACTTGTTTTTGATAGAATAATTAATTTAAGTGTAGTAGTTTGTTTTGAATGGAAATAATTAAGTGTCTCGGTTTGTTTTGGATAGGAATAATTGAGTGTCCTGGTTTGTTTTGGATGTAAATAATCAGATGTCTTGGATTGTTTTGAATGAAAATAATCAAGTGTTTGGTTTGTTTTGGATGAAAATAATTGTGTCTTGGTTTGTTTTGGATGGAAATTTGTGTCAGTTTCAAAGTGACACCTTGTCATTCCAAAACTGATATTCATACCAAAGTCTATCTTTGAGGAAAATATCTTATGGATTGTATGCAGGCACAATAATTCTAAATTTTAACATGGTATCTCATAAAAAGAGATAGATGTTTAGTTTTCATTTCCATTTATTTTTCAATGCTGCTACTCGTGAGAGTAACAAGAAGAAAAGAAAGTGATAAAACATCATAGCCAAGTTTTAAGTTTGATAGTCCAAATAAAGTTTTTGAAAATATACTTACCATATACTTATATCATGCAACTCAATGTGAATATTACATAACAAGGTTTGAAGATGTATGAAGATAAAACCTGACAATGTTGAAAATGATAAATTCAGTGGTATATTATTAATTCATGTATTTATTAACTTTGCTCTAAAAAAATGTTACAAATAAGATGTAAATATTGGCCTCCATCTGTTTCTGAAAGCAATGAAATGGGCCACATGGTCAGTCTCTTGCAGAGTTGGAGTGCCTGCTGTGGCTGTGCAGTCCTGACCTGACAAGGCAGGTCCTGTTGCAGGTGAAGTCTGCACCTGGCTTTGTGCTTGCTGATGCTGCCCTCTGGTGCCTGTACTCTCTTCTCCCTTTTCACTGTATCTCTCTCCTCCTTTCACTTCTCTGAATGCCTGCTTTGACAGTCTGTCTCCAGCAACTGCAATCTGCAGGGACCGCTTCCTAGTGTTGGTATTTGTTGTCTAAGTATGAAAATGATAAATACGTCTTTGTATCCATCCATCTCATAAGCACTAATGTACTTGGGCAGGGACTTGCCAATAGCTGCCAGTCTTGTGGTGAACACAATGAAATTTATTGTGATCAGTTGCAAGATCCAGGGGTACAAATGCGTAACATTAGGGAAAAACTAGCAACTTCATAAAATTACCAAAAAATCATCAAAACATAGATTATTCATAAACTTTTATTGTAAGAACTACTTTTTGAGAAAATATTTGATGTTATCTGTTAAATTATCCTCATTACTTAATACCCAGAATGCATAGCAGGCGTGGTCATATATTCTATTTACACATTTGCAGGCTTAAATTCACGATTCTGTTTAGAAATAACACAGTTTTATTTACATAACTAAAAAGAAGACATAATTTCCTCATGCTGGTTGGGTAAAAGCTGGAATAATACATTTCTACGCCTATTTAATTTCTTGAGTTCTCCACAGATAGTCCTGACAGTGTTTGCATACACAATAGCTTGTTTATTGTCAAGCTTGTAGGTCATGTCTATAATATTGTCCCTTAGGAAAAAGTTACCCTTGAAGACAAAGGAACCTTTCTGATAAGCAGCACTATAGTCATCAACTTCATCTTCACCCAAAATTATGGCACCACTGCTTGTAACTTTGAAGAGGTAGTAATCATATATGGCGTCATCAGCTGCTGCAATGGCGACAGTACTTCCTTCTTCAACAAGATCAGTGAGTGCATTGACTGTTTTACTGACATTGACTGAGTCTTGATTCTGCCTTGTGACTGCAACATCTCCTTCTCTTGACATCTCAACCTCTCTCCACTTATCAACATACTCCTCATTTTCACAGTCCATGTCAGTTAAAAAACCAATGCACATACAGCTTCTTAGCCTTGTCTTCACCTTACATTGCTGAGAAGTTGTTTTTACAGAGTGGATTTTTCTAATCCCTTTTAGCTCTTTAAAAGTGCGGCCAATTCTGTTTCTGTCAACAGCTCCTTCTCCATTTAGTGGAATGTAGAAGTATACTCTCTTGTTTAAGGTGGTTTTGCTGTTGGTTGAAGATGGCAAAGAGAACTTGTCCTTCAGATACTCATAGAGCTCCTTTGCAGACTTGATGGATGCTTCTCTTCGAATCACAGCAAGAGTAGCACGTTGTTTGACATTAGCACCTGCTGCATCTTGCTCTCCTTTTGCATGAGAGGTTTCAAAGAAATGCCGGTCCACCTGACACCCAAAGTCAGACAAAGAACATGACAAATCACCAAAAGTGTGCTTAGATTTGTATTGTCCAGCACACCCATCAGTGAATTCATGAACTTTGTCTACTTTCACTTTGACCTCATTCCTAAGGTACGTCAGTATTAGGCCTTGGGTGTGGTGTACAAAATGGTAGTCTTGAGTGTTGTCTTCTGAAAGGGCAAAGATGTGCTCTTTGATGAGGACAGGGTCTTGTTCTGTACTTGCTTTGCCATCAATGTCAATATCAGCATGGCGATAGACAATTGACACATGAATGCTGACTTTCACAGGATCGAAATACTCTGATTGAATTTCATCTTGTGATCTGCAAGTGTAATTCTCAGAAAAATCATGCACACAGATGATATGGTTGAGAGGCAGGTTTGTCATTAAATGATCAAACTGTTCTTTTTGCCATTTGGCCATAAATGAATGGTAGGGATAATCTTTCAGGAGTTGCTGGAAATAGTCAAACATCTCTTTGACAGGAGTTTCTTTTTGGACCAAGTGGATTTTCCTTTTTTCCTCGCCATTGTTATCTTTGTACGTTATGTATTCATATCGTTTCCACTTGACTTCAGTTTCAGACATTTCTTCAGCTGCTGTCTTGAAGTTCTTCACCCCACACTTGTCACAGCTCCTTGTCAGGCAGTCTAGAGAGGAATAGCTGGAGTCTTCTGGCTTTTCACACAATGTGGATTCCACAGCTTCAGTGAGAAAATTAAAGGCTTGAACTTCATTATTTTGTATGGATTTTCGATATTTCATGCAAGAATCAAATACAATTTTGCATTCTACATGCTTCCTACACAAGCAAGATTGTCTATCTCTCTCTCTAGCTCCAGTAACAAAGAAAGGCTTCAACTGCTCAAATCTTCGTTGTTTCACTTTTATGTCGGGATGTAGCTCCTGGAATTCTTTGAAACACTCTGTTTGAGTCTTTTCAAGGATATGCTTTGCGTGCTCCACATACTCCTTTTTGCCAATTCGTTGCCGCATCTTGTCTCTTTTGGATCCAGTGGGTCGACTTGCTTGTAGGGTCCAAAAATCGTAGATAACACGCTTATCTTCTTCTTTAATCGCGTCACACCTGACATTTCTTTTTGTTCTCAACCAGCAGGCCTCATCACCCTTCAAAACTCTTTCTCTATGTTTGATAGCTTTGGACACCTGGCTTCTTTTTACTCCCATCATCTTGGCAATCCGTGTTTGGTGCTTGTTTTTTTTGACAGAAGATCCAAAAGCCAAAGAGCGCGTACAGTTATAAGCTGCTCTTTCATCAGTCGACTTAGCTTTTTTGACTTTGGACAATCCTTCTGCCAAATCTTCTACCAAACACTCCATTGCTTCGATATTTTGTTGCTCCTCAACTGGTCTCACGAACTTCTTTTTTTCAAGAATCTTCCTTGTGCGAGGAGTACTTGCAAGGTTTTGAAGAATTTCAGCCTTTTTTGCGGGGGTTTGAGGTAAGGCAGGGGACACCTTGTCCTTTGCACGTTTTTTTGCCATCCTTGAACTAAAAGCTGGTGTGGTGATGTTGACTTCAGGTTTCGGTTGCGCAAATGATGACTCTTTTCTATTCTGACGAAGTTTTCGAACCCTTTCTCGAGTTTGCTGTCGCTTTTTCTCTTCCCTCTCTTTTTCTCTTTGCTTCAAAACCTTCTTCTTGGTAGCTGATGCAGCATTCCGCTCACGGTTGGCTCTTTTGTCATCAGCCTTTTGTGCAGATGTGCGTGTTTTCACTGCGGCGACTGTCGCGTTTTTTTTCTTGCTTCGAAGCAAGCGCATTCTTTCTCTTGCTTTTTGTGCAAGAACTTCTTTGTTTCTTTCATAGTATTCCCTTTGTTGTTTAAGCTTTTTTTCTTCTTTTTCTTTTCTCCATTGATCAGCAGAATATTTTTTGTTTTCCATTGAATATTTCGCAAGCGAAGCGTGTAAATTCTCGACGGAAGAAGTCACGCTAGGGAAGTCACGTTCTCTAGTAATTTCCAGTCTCAAACGATCGTTTGTTCATGGGTGTATATCAATTAATTGTTGTATACCCCCTCTAGATGTAATGTACAAGGTTGTTGTAAGCGAGGAAGAAGCGAAGTTTAGATGCGAAGATTTCTAAAACTGCCACTATTTTGCGCGTGTAAACTGATACACCAATGCAAACAATACTGTTCCAAGATCGAATATGTTCGCGATTCAAAAAAGACATAAATTTAGATGTTAAATTGAGTTAGATTCGTGAACATTTGGTACCGATAGAAAGTTTAGAATTTGAGAATGACAGATCTGCTAGTTGAAGAGCAATTTCATTTTAAGCGCGGCTATCACAGACCTTTTTGGAGATGAGGATAAATAATTTTAAGGTAAATTTTCTATGCATTTTATGTGTTCGCGATTCAGACTTTTTGGATTTTTTACGCTGTCTTTGAATTAAATGGAATAAAAATTTGTATACAGAAAATAAATCATCTGAGAATTATTGTATGTATTTTTTTAAACTGATTTGAGCTTTTTTTGCGACAAAATCTTGGTGACTATGAAGTATAGTACAATATTGTATAAACAGCGTTACATGTTCGGTCGCCGAGAAAATTGTTTCGTAGCGCGAATATTACAATTCAGTGTTCCAATTTTAACTATTTTATTGAAAAGTCTATGTTTCTAGTGTATTTCTAAGTCAAAATTATTTTGAAATTTTAAATTTTTAAGTAAGAAATTTTTGAATATGTTTGATGCTTTGTCAGATTATGTTACGCGTTACATAAGAATTCGCCTCACTTTTCTGAATACTAAAATCCATAAAAAAATAAATTCTTCCTCTATTACCACGATTTTTGGTTTAATACAAAGAGGTTAACTATATCTAACAGGATATATAAGTTTTAAAGTGTTTTGTTTGAAATATATATTTTTTTGCTCAATATGGTTTTCGTAAACATGCTTTGCCACCCTGGATCGTGCTACTGATCTGTCCAAACAATTGTAATCAAACTGCCTCTTTCCAGTCTTAGTCCAATATCCATAGTGCATTAATAATAATAATAATAATAATAATAATAATAATAGTATGTTTAATATCAACATTTATGCATATACATAAATTACAATTTGTTGTTCTGTTAGATTTTTAAACTGGAAATAAATGTATAGTTAAAGTTATTTTCATTAAACTATGTAATATATATTTGGAAAAAAAACTAAGATGTAATCTTTTAGTTCTATGATTTGGTATTGTATGGTTCTTTGATTGGTGTACAGACACCCTTGTCTTGTTGAGATGTTTGGAGAGTGGGTCCCCCTTTTGGTATCTTTCAGAGTGTATCCAGACAAAGTTCACTTTGTCTTTCATCTAATCTGGGTAGTTTTAGATATTAGAGAGCTTCTCTGTATGAAAGTGCAGGTACAATGATCTTGAAGGTGCATGTCTGCATACATTTTACCTCTTCAGAGTGGTAAGACTTTGAGGTGTGGTGGCATGCTACACAAAAATATTAAGGTTTGACTTGGAGCTGTTGTGTCATAGTCCAGCATCACTTTCTTAAACTCCTTCAGGTTGTCTATTCTCATTTGTAGGTCATCTGCTATTTCATTCCAGGTTTTTGTGGCTTTCACAATAAATGAGTGTTGATATGTTGATGCCTTACCTTTTGGAGTCCACTACTTAGTAATGTTCCTTTTGATTGTGAGGAAGGAATGGAACCTGTTAAGGTATCCTCCAAGACCACAGAGCCTTTGGATGAGCACTTCATGGTTAACTCAGGGCAGGAAACTTTCTTTTCAATTCACTTGTCCTTTTGGACAAGTGTAGTGTGTATTTTACTTTTCCAGACCACAAAACTACTTTTCCAAAGAATTTGGCAACAGCAATTCAGGGTTTAAAAAATTCTTTTATTTCAACCATGCCCCAGTTGAGTGAAAAGCTAAATAGTCGATGAAAACCTGGTGTGGGGAATAGGTTAAGAAGGCCCACAACGTCCTCAGTCTTCACTTTCAGGTTTTTTAATCACAGTTTTTTCTTTTCTCCTACAAAAATAATCCACCTCTCACTGGCATCAATCGAGCGAACCCTAATCTATGGCACACCTTGAATAAACATGAGCTGATTGGCTAAAACGATATTGCTGACAGAAAAATAACAAACGTACTCTATTTCACAATAACACGTGGAATAACGTGATCTTTGCCATTCAGATAAAAATAAACGCCTTCAAAGATTGGCAGTTCGTGACAAAATAAACATTAAAAGCCCTATGCTATTATCGAGTTTCCGACACTATAATGCAACAAATTGAATAAAAGTGTATTCTTTTGATGCATCTGTCAGTGTATGTCAATGTGTTCAGCTATCTTTGGTTAATTTAATAAGTCGATAAAATTGAATTATCTAACACTCGTGTTATTTGAGAGATGCCTTACTTGTGGGCACTCAAGGGATTACATCACTAGTGGTTTACTCAAATGGAAAAATTGTGGTGGGTTGCTAGATTGGATTTCACTGCATCTTTCTTAGCCTTGATAGTGACCTCAAAGATTCATAGAGTTCCATGCTTCTCTGCAGCTGTTACTACAACAACAAGAATGTCAACATCGCAAGAATGAGTTAAAGTGAGTACCTTGGGCTGATCACGATACAAATTGTGGCAAAGCATTTGGCAAAGTGCAACTCTGCAGACTGCACTTAAAGCATGTTTCCACTTTGTAACCTTTGCTGCATTGGACACACTTTCTCTTCCTTCCACATGAACAGAAACATGGGCTTCTCAGTGGATAGCAACAAATTTCTATCTTTTTAATGCAAGATTTACCTCTCCATGCGTATGCATAATTGCAGCTTAGATGTTCTTGGGTGATGTTCATGAGAGTGCCTGCCACATTAGATAGTAGAAGGCTCAGTGCACAGAGGACAGAACTCAAAGAGTTGCATCAAGCAGGAAAAAAAGACAATGAACTTGCTTTCACTTTGTGGGCCCTCTGAACTTTTTTTACTGTAGGATGTCCAATAACAAAATGAAATTGACCATAACGTATAACAAAATTGAAAAAAAAAAAAAAAGTTGGGTGAAATCTTTTTTTACCTTGATAGTCTTTCTTCAAAGTTGTTTGGTTTCTTTTCCTCCTCCTTCGCTACTTCTTCCACCAAGTCATTAGGGAGAAATAAATGTTTTGGAATATATTCCAGGTCTTTCTGATCATCTTTGCTGCAATCACCCACACTCTTATCCGGACTACTCAGAGGTGAAGGACTTGTGGGTACAGATGGTAGGTTGATGATCTCACATCAGACCTCAGCCTCAGTTGTAACAACTTCCACTTGTGTGTTTGTGTAATGAGGATAGCCATCATACTCAATAATAGGGACAGATTTCAAAGCGCAGAAACTTTTCTTAGATTTGTTTTAAAAAGTTATCGTCTTACCCACACTTGCCATAGATTTTTGTAGAAAATGGGAGCAATAAAATTCCAAATCACATTGTATACCGGTATCAACAAATTCTCATGCTCTAATAAGTGGTTTGGTTTCAGGTAAGGGTTCAGACAGATGAGAGTCTTTCGTGGGCTCAAGGCTGGTTCCCGAACAACTGGATTCCCCATAGTCTTTCAATAGTTGAGAAGAAACATTGTTTTAGAGAACGTTAATTACTGTTAATAATTTTCTTGAGGTTTCCACTCAAATCGATGTTGCACTTACTCTGTTGACCTCTAACTTTTGAAGAGCTCTACTTCTCCTCAGTGGTCTCTGGGTTTGGTTGGCCCCTTTGAAGATCGAGGCTTTCTGTGAAAAGAAAATGTGCCATTTTTGGGTTTACATGCCCTTTAAGTCGTATGATGTTCAATCGGTATTCGACCATAACTGGCCAACAACTCAACTGGATGGTTACCCTTAGGATCCTATGGGGGTCACAATTTTTTTCCTGTAATGTTGATGCTAACTAATAAAACGGATTTCACTGTTCTAATTTAGGTACCAGCATATTCAAAGTATATAATTTTAGAAAGGTTATAAAAATTACTTTCTGAAAAAGTAGAACCTATAAAAGCACATTTTTAACATCTAGATTTTTCACTATTTGAGAAAAAAACGTATTTTAAAAAAGAGTAAATACTATTTGCAGCTAGAAAACAAATGTTTGTCAATTTAATGAATAAAATCAGCTATTAATTTTGGTTTTTCAGCGCAAAACCAAAAAAATACATAAAAAATTACATCTAATTCTCAAATTAATTTCCATTTATGTCATTTCTCCTGTTATTAATGTTTCATTCCTATGTATTGCGATGCAGTCCTCTTGGTCTTCCTGGCCTAGTCCTCCATCTTCCATAAAGTTCTGCCAGTCTTCTTGGGCCTTGCCTGCTTTTATCATTGAAGTGGTAGTGTCAACCTGTTGAATACGTACTTTGCATGCCAATCTATTGCTGTTTGGAATTGGGTTTACACACTTTACGCACTTTATTTTTCTTTTTCTTACAAAATAATTTAGATTATGTTGACCCGCAGATAGCAAATTTGCTATTCGAGGCGGGTCAATCATCAACAAACATTATTTACAATATATAAAGAAAATTAAAAACTAAAGGTTTCTAACTGTCAACTGAAATGTCCTTCAATCAGCTAACTGTTCCACTACAGCCTCTCTGAACTGGAGCATTTTAGGAGCATCTCTAAATGACTTATCCACAAGGATTTGGGCATTTCAAATGCTAAGCTCCAAAAGGTAAAATATTTTGTAATACAAATCAGATTCTTTCATAAGGCGTGTATATGTGGTCAACACCTCCCATATTTCAATTATAATCGGAAATTATTGATGTTTGTGTGACAGCTGTCTTCTTCCATTTGTTTCCCACTTTTACAAACCTCTCCGCTTCTGAATTTGAAGTTGGACTAACTGGAGTGGTTGCCAGCATGTGGATAATTTTGCTGTCCTTCCAGCCCACGTATGTTATGGTGCCTTTCTGTCAATAAACACTTTATCCCAGCTTCGAACTTTTGATTTCTTTATTTTGAGCATCTGTTATGTCCCTTGGAAGCCCTTTTCTGTTAGATCTTGCTGTTCCACAGGCCAGTGTGCCTTGCTCCTCGAGGTCTTCATACAATGGTGATGTAGAGTAAATTTCTGTGTAGAGTGTGACCTTTGTCAAGAAATGACTCCATAAGGCCCGTAACTGCTCTCTTACCAAGATCTGTTTGTACTTCACCATTTTCTTTCCTAGTATATACTTTGCTGACAAGTCCGTAGTCGGAACTAGCCTCAGTAAGAGTGAAACCCTTGATTCTGAAGTGGCCAGGCTTAATGGGAATAAACTGGTTGCCACTATGTGGCAGGGTATTTTGCAAAAGGGGTCCTCTCAGCAATAATGCCCCGAGTAATCTTCAGTGTTTGTAATCCATTTTGTTGTAGTACTTATACGGGTTGCCTCCAGCAAGAATAAAAAATGATCACAAACATAGGATTCAGAATGAACTTTTTATACAATTTTATGACATTGATTTCCTCTAGAATAATAATTTGAT